ACCAGCAGGTTCTCCTGAACTGTTCATCAGTAACCAGAACTAGTTCCTGGTTCAGCTGAAAGTATTACTTCATAATTTTCTTAACATATTCAAATGGAAGAATCAAATTTATTCTCCTGTTTTCAATAATCAGCATCAGAAACTGAACTAAAGAGTTTAAATGAAGGGAAGAAGAAGAAAGGAGGCTGAGAATCACTGATTCTGGTTTCCACTCTATCCTCTCACTTATGAAGTCAGCTGACCTTTGACCTCTCTGGTTGTGCAGATCGGAGGAACGTGACAGCAGAACCGGGTCAGAACGTGGTTCTGCCATGTAGAGCTGCTGGAACCAAACGGCTCATCGCTGTGGAGTGGAGCAGATCTGATCTGGGGTCAGATTATGTTCTCCGCTACAGAGACGAGCGTCTGGACGAGGAGAACCAGAACCCGTCCTTCAGAACCCGGGTGGCTCTGCTGGACGGAGCGGTGAAGGAGGGAAACGTGTCTCTGGTTCTGAAGAACCTGACGGCCGACGACTCCGGAGCGTATGAGTGTCGAGTCGCCCAGAGAGGAGCAGGAGAAGCTAACGCTAACATGAAACTCATCAGCACCGTCTACCTGGACGTAGCTCCGCCCCCTCCGCCAGGTGAGCATCCGTCTCTGAGCAGCTGATGATGATCTGCAGTCGGATCGGACTAACACCTGGTTCTGTTCTGCAGGGAACCGAGATGAAAGCAGAAACTCTGGAGCCAGAAACCTTCACCTGGGGCTGATAGGAGTTATTTTAATCATTGTTCTGATTGCTGTCGCCTCGGTTCTGGTTCTCACCTGAAGGGAACCAAACAGCTGAGGAGTGAAAACCATCTGATTCCTGTCAGTTTGGCTTCAGTTGCTCCAATAATCTGAACAGAGAAAGTTTTCCTTCAAACAAATGAATCTTATTGTGGACTTGAATTTCTCGGTAGTTTCATCTTCCTTGGTTGCATCAGTTTCTGGTGTGATCAGCACCAACAGGTTCTTCCTGCCAGAACAACCAGATGAGCTGGAGATGCGTTAATTAAAACCTCAGAGCTGGTTGTGTTTCTGCAGAGACGCTGTAACGTTCAGACAGGAAACGCAGCAGAACTGAGTTTTATCCTCCTGACGTCTCAGAAACAAAATGAGTTCAGAGGAAAACTGGATCCTTTCCTCACCAGGTTTACCTCCCGTCTGCTTTCAGTTACTGTCACAACAAAGAATGAAGTATTAAACATGAGACACTTTACAGACAGCAGGTTCTGTGAGCAGCAGCATTTTATAGGAGTTTTAAAATGTTTAAAACTTTCTGAATTTTTCTTCTTGTTAATCCGTTAAAGATCCAGATTCCCTCTGAGTCAAAACGTAGCAGCTTTATTAGCAACACAACACATTAACAATCATCACTCACAGCAATAATCGCTGCTGGAACAACGTAAATGCTGCAGTGGAACATAAATATGGAACATGTTCTGGATAAATCGGATCTATTATTGGTGATTTGTTGTCATTTTACCAGCTTTTCCTCTGACTGTCGGCTCAGAAACACATCAAAGCTCCAAACGTTAAAGATGATTTAAAAATGCTTTTATTTAAAATAAAATAATAATAAAAGGTTGTTTTAAAATAAAGCCTTCAAAACTTTATAACAGGACAAAATGCTTCACTGCCTCTGTCTGGACTTTGTTCAAGTTTTATGGTTGTTACTGTGAAATGTTTTCATTCTGTGAAATGAATAGTTTATTTCACCGTACAGTGAGATCATTTCAGATCTGAGTGTTTAACAGACACTGAGGCTGCAGACCAAATAAAACTGGATCAATGTTTCACTGCATGTCTTCTTTAAGTTATTTTAGAAAAGTTTTTCTCCTGTCTGGTTGTTTAATGTGAATAAATGTTGAATGTTTCCATTATTCTTGCGTCATCATTTCAGAAAGTTGGAATGTTTCACATGAATGAAGAAAAACTCTAAATGTTCCCAGTCAGTGGATGTGATCCTTGTTCTGTTTATGATTTAACTGAATAAACTAGAAATGATTTCAGCTGAAACTATCTGGAGACGTTTTAAATCAGGTGTAACATGAAGTTTATTTCTGCAGCAGGTTTTCTGGAAGTTTGCTCCAGAACATATTTAACAGTAAATAATCAAACTTTTTAATCTTTAACTGTAATAAATACATGGCACACACACATATCTAAGCCAGACATCAATGACATGAAAACTAGCTGCGTTTAATCTTCATCATGAATCCTGGTGACGTTCCTCCAAACTGAAACCAGTTTCTATTTACTGGAAACCAGCTGGACTTTTCAGCAGAAGCTACATTAGTGGGAAAACCCCATGAGTCAGATCTGACCGTCTGCTCTGCTTTCAAACTATCAGCTTGTTTTGATCAGACAGGAATGTTGGAGCAAGAGATCATTTACCAAAAAAAATTAGCATTGTTGCTGTTTAAATACAGATTTTAAAAAATAAACCTTTAATGATCTCTACCCATCCAAACTAGTGATCAACAGACTTGTCCTCTTCCTCTGCGATACGTTTCTTATCTCAGTGGAGCTGCAGCCTCGTCTGGATGAGTCACGGTTTCATCCTGAAACTCTGACTTCTCCTGTTTCTGGGAATCACCTCCATCGTTCCTGTTCCTGTAAACCAGAGTGTGATTTACTGGAAGACTCACCTCAGCTCAAAGCCAGACTGGCTACAAAGAGGTTGAAGAAAAAAGAGGTCCCTGTGAATGTATGATTCACCGTGACCCAGTGCTCTGAAATAAAATGTTATTAAAAGTACGTTAAACTGAATTTTGGAAGTCAGGAACAGAAAACTGGTTTTATATGGTTTAGTTTTTACATCTGGGGCTGAAAAATCTGCGTCAGACGTGAGGAACCTGAACGCACCATGCAGAGGATCAGGATGGATGCAGGTGACCCCTGACCTGCTGGGAGTTTAAGGATTCTGGGCTTAGCGGCACCTCGCTGTCTAATTACTGGATCATTTCTCAGTTTGGTTCAGACACTTCTGGTTTTTAAGAGTTAAAACACCAAACAGGAAAAACCAGAGAGAGAAAACGGATCCGATAAACTGCAGCCAACAGGTTTAATCAGAGAGGAAGGAAGAGAAAAACAGGCTGTGGTTCCCTTATAGACATCCTCACAGCTGGAGCCTCTTTACTAAATGATTAATGATTATTGATCCAGGGTTAAT